AAAAGTTCCTAAAAATATTTTTACCACTTGGAATATTTTATTTGGATTTTATTTATCTAAATAATCTCATAATTTTTCCAAGAGGTTCAAATTCTGATATTAAAACAACAACTGTCCTATAATTAATTTTTACGTATTTTATCAATGTGTTCAGGATCGTTATCGTACATGAACTATTTTGTATTCAAAAGACGTTTCTATAAAATCTTTTTTTTAAAATACAGTTTATTTGTATGTCTGTCGTTCTAATACACATAAACTCATCAACTTAAAATTAACTATTTCAAAAAGAATTCATTAGTTCCAATCTGATAGCATCCAATTTTTTTATGATATATATATATATAATATATACGTATATATATGTATATTATACATATAATATATATAATATATATATAATATCATTGTCTTATTTTGTATACTTGATATTTTAACTGCCACAATCAGAAATACTGCCCTATACAAGTCGCGCCTTTTTATTATTGCCACTGAAATTATTTAATTCTTAATTTCACTAATTTCCAGTACTGTTCTTTTCATACTTTCAACGTTTGAATAAACTTTTGTATACATTCTAAATCTTACAGATCTTTTTACAGACAAATAATTGTATCCTTCCGTCTGAAATTTCATTACATTGGATAATAATTCTAAACCTATCATGTTCTAAATCTAAAGAAATGAAGCCATCATAAATAAAAGAAAGAAGCTTCAAAACCGTCCACACGCAACATAATGCAGCGTAGGCATGCATGAACTTTTAATTATTTAAGAAATTTAAATGATTAAATTCTTCAGTTTTTAATATTCAAAGAATGTCACATTTCATTATAGATTCATTTAGAAATGAACGAATGTCCTAATGCAGTCGCGCGGCAATGTATGCGTAGTTTACTATTCGCGAGCATGTATGCTATTACCATTGTGATCAATTTGTATTTGTAAGTGGTCCCTTGGACAAGCAGGATATTAATAATTAGGACAACAACGAGATCTCTTTTAGTAAATGATCATAGCACGTTTTCTTCAGTGTCTTGATCATTGCCATCGCGCCCCTTTTTTTTAAGCATTAAGATTATCGATGTAAAAGATGTTCCGAAATAGCTCCTGCGATCAGGAGAGTACATTTTACTCCGTAATTTTGTACGTCAGTCGACTCAAGTTTTCGTGCTATGATTCATAAACTTTGGCATTGTTAATAAATATACATCTACATTAAAGAAATGTAATGTGAGGAGTTTATGATGACAAGAGTAAAAAGAAAAATTCATATTGAATCCTCTGATTATCGCGACTTGATAATTCGTAGCCGAGTTCGTTCAATTTAAATTGTGTGTATTTTGTATATAACATTCAATCGTCTCGTAGAAGTGCGTTCTGGCTATGAAACGAAGAATGCAATGGATCGTCGTTTAAATATTCGAAGGCGAAATCGAGAGAAATAGGGCCGTTTACGAAACTATTCATGGTGAAGCTGTCGTGTGGAATATTCTGCACTTTGTAACCACAATCAATGAATAGCTGTACGATCTTACAAAATTATTATTAACAATAACCAGCGAATTTTAATCTGTAAGACGGTGATACGCGCCTCTTGATGCGATGGTGCCTGATCAGACGTGAAAAACTGCTTGTTACCGTCCCGTGTTGCGTCGATTTAACGATTTCATATTTTTACTGATTTGGTGCACCCGGGGCGCAACCAGTTACTGTGATCTTTGTCTACGTGTGGTCACGTAGACGAATGTATATCATTTCATTGTAGATACGTAAACGTTAATAATGTAAACACAGACTTTTGTTATCCCTCTCTTTTTCTCCGAGTTAAAATAAGGAATTACGGGAAGCGTTTCGAGAGCCTTATATTTCGAAATTTTTCAACGACATGTATATTACAAAGTATCACAAAAAGGAAGTCATGTTTATACGATTTACACAATACTAGTTTATAAGCAACAAAATATAAATGAAAAAACATTGGGCGATTTTTAAGTAAAGGATATGTACGATAGAAAATTTAACGAGTGTAAAAAAAAAAAAA